ACAAGCATCCTTTTTGATTTTTTTCCTGCCTCTCTCTGTACAAAGGAAAACTGAAGAATCACAAACAAGCCAGGAACAAATTTGACCTGGCAACAACAAAAAGATACGTACAAAATGAAAAAAGGGATACTTTGAAAGAAAAATGTTGAAAATGAGAATATCTTAAAGACAAGCAAGTATTCTGAATTCACACAATGACAGAGATAAAAAATGCTTTGAGTGCTTTTCAATCTGGACACAATGAGCCTAATTTAGGGGTTGTGCATTGTTCAGAAAAGCTCGTCTAAGCTTTTATGTGGTCCAACTATCTCTTTAAATTCTTGAAAGACTCTTTTTTCACCACTCCTTTAATCTAGGGCTCATCATAAGGTTTTACAAATTGCTTCCATACAATCCTAGCTCAAATTTGACTTATCTCAGCCATCATGGTTTGATATCTTAAAGAGACTATTTAATAAAACAGGGTGTTCTGTTTCTGTCCTGTAGTTTATATTTGAGATTTCGTTTTTTAAAAAAAGAAATACAAAATATATTTAATGAACAAAAACAGTGTTTCAGTATTTCATTTATGAAGAACAGTTTGATAATTATCATAGATAATTGTGCAGTGATGTGCTTATTTTTGTCGTCGTCAACCAAGAAAGCTGTTTTAATTTTAGACAAATTTGCACAAATGATTAATTTACATTAATATTAATTAGATATTAATTTACATTCATTCAAATGAAATAAACTAAGACAAAAAATAAAAAAATAATTTGGTCTTCAGATATTATTAAGATTTATTTTTTATCTAGTTTTTTTCAATTTGCATGTCAACCGTACCAAAACGCCCTTTTCATCCTGTTGAAAATAGGATGTGATCATGTTGATCTATAAAGTCAAAACTCAGATTGTTTCCTTTGTCTTGGAATGTTTGCAAATGTGATGTGTTTTAAGAAAAGCAGAGAAAAGGTATCCAGTTCTGTTGCTTTTGCTGAGAAGATTGCAGGCATTCACAATGCACACAAGGATAGACAGTTTCATCTGTTCTGTTCTAAAGAGAGCCTCCATTGGCATATCTGACCTGCCATGCTGTGACAGTTGGAGCCAGTGAGCTGTGTGAGATGGGGCCATCATTATGAAAAGTCCCTCATGTGGTGTTCACACATGCTTACGTGCCAAGCTCCCTCTGCCTGCCGAGGGCATTGTAAAAAATGTTTTTGGAGCTTGACTGCTGGGAGCATGCTGGAGGACAGCTTTTCCTGCGGTTTCCCACTGTGCAACAGCTTCAGTGGGAGAAAGGGAATGGGAGCCACCTGCCAAAGTGTAATGACTGAAAACTGGCCTCATATGAGGGGCCGGTCTGTTCCTCCTGGCATAGCCTTTCGCTGGCCAATTTCCTCCTCTCACCCTTGCTTCAGTCATGCGTCCTGTCCTGGGAAAGCCGAGGAAGGCCGGCTGCTTTTAACCCCGTTTGACCGACAGCGGGAAAGGTTGCAACTGTTCTGTTGGAAAAAAAAAGGGATCACATTTTGTGCAAACTGTGCATCACGCTATGTGGAATGGAATGCTGCTTGACTTGCATTTTATTATTAAGAATGCCTTTTACCGATTTGTCTTATCTGTGGTGATTAATGAAAAGCTACTGGAAATATTGCATTCATTAAGGTCCTACGACCTTTATGGTTGCGTGTTACTGAAATTCAGAATTTCCAAGGTACCTAGAAACAATCTGCTCAGAAAGGAAAACAAACTCCAAAGTGTTTAGATAGGCTCACTTGATGAATGCAAGGTGTGGGTATTTTTTTTACATTAGAGAAAGTTATTTGGAAAGTTCTGACATATTTCTGAGTCTTTTTTAGGGATTTGTGTAGGTTTTCTAACACATATTAATAATGCGTGGTTTTATTTTCAGTTCATTTTATCATTTCAGCTCATTTGAATTAATTTTATCTGACTGTTGGAGGTAGATGGTTGTACAATCAACATCACAGGGCATTTTTATGTAATTTGTTGCTAATTTGTTTAGAGAGAGAACAAAAGATGATTTATCTTATTCAGCATGTTTTTGAGCAATCCAAATCCCACGTTATCTGCTGTTTGCTTAAATATATTTGGCTATGTATAATTATATGTGTCAGACAGATATTATATACTTTGTGCTTTTTATTCAGGGAGCACAATCAATGTTTTGTTTTCCACCATTCCCATTATCTTTCCATTAGTACTGTGGAATTACATATTAAAAAAACAGATTGAAGAAGCGAGTGGAGATATCCTTCTGACTTGCCTATGTAACCTGCAAAGACTAAGTGGTTTCTCTCTCAGAAATACTATACATATTTTCAGCAGATAATAATACCTTTTGAAGAAGATGTCTTGGAATTGACTATTTTGAACCATGTATAGCATCTCAACTTGGTTGGAATCTTGCCCTCAAAGTAGAGATGATCAACAGCCGAGGGGAAAACAGTATCACTTCTTCCAGTATATATGCGTTGGTGCATCAAAGGTTAATGCAGTCCAAATTTCTCAGACTGGTTATTAAATCTAGATAACAAAATAAATTAATTGACAGTTTCGCAAAATTTTACAAATTACGAAATAAGCACAAAATCATTACCTTTGTGAAAGCACTGTATGGTCACCATGTTGTTGCAAACCTCTGGTCTTGCCGCGGGTGATAGAGTTTGCGAGAATTGTGACATACAGTACAGTGGTCATTCCTGCTCACCAGTCATTGTAATGACCCATATAATATGATGTATGAGATAATAAGTACAGGTTGTGCCGCAAACATTTCACCTCAGAAATGTTCCATTGTGATCTGCCTACAGCATTAACAAGTAGTATTTGTTGGTAAAACTGTCTCAAAATCGAGAGCAATATTTCTATTTTTCTATTAAAAGACATGTACTGTATTCACAAGCCTGCTTGTTCACAAGATAATAGGGCTGCTTTACATCACTGCAAGGTTTGTTGCCACGTTTTGAATCACAGACAATGAGGACAATAAGGTGCTGCAACACTATTTTGTGGTGTAAAATTTGAGGTTTTATAAGTTACTATGTACATTTTACTTTCATTGTGGTTTGAAATGAACTCATCAATGGCGATTCTTCATAACCCTGCAATATAAAAATAGTATTGCAGTTTGCCTTTTATATATTTGTTTCATAAACATTTGCTTTTAGATAATACATTTCAACATACCGTACACAGATAAAAAGTTTCTAGTCTCTGTCATTTTCTGCTTTGCTTGTGTTTTTTTTTCTACATATGATTTTAGCAGACATGGTCTTGTCTGTACTATAATCGTTAAATTCAGGAAAGTACTGTGGTCTTGGTTCTCTAGGTTTCAGATCTATTAGCTTAAATGAAAAGGATTAGACAAACATTCTCAGACAATCAGAGTGAAAGGTCACTCAATCAATCTAGGGCCATCTTTTACCTACCCTTGTTGAGGTTTGGGGGCTTTATCAGTCATGGGTACACATAAATGTATTTTTATTTAATAACGATACTTGACTACATGTAGGTCCATAGACTCTGTACACATACAGTATAGATTCTATTACTGAGTACATAACTAAAAGTGGAATCTTCATGACTGCTTTGAAAACATTAACTAATGAACAACATGCTATCAAAACCAACGTAGTGAAAAATAGAAAAAAACTTCACAGTGCTACAGATATGCCGCCTTTGTGCGGTTGGGTGTTCCCCATAGAGTATATTGGTTGGGACAAATATGTTCCTTTGGCTATCTACATTCTTTAATCTTTTCTGAAGGACACTTTGCAATTTTTTACACATCTTGCTTGATTACAGGATGTGCACATTATCTATAAATATCTGGCACTTGAAAGTCAGAATGTATTACCTCAGAAGATGTAACCAGGCATTGAAATACTGTTACAACACCAGGGCAATTCTTTCTATGCTATCGTGTGCTTCCAGGCCAGGATATTTGCAATGCCTGATTTTCTCCTTGTCATAGTCAGTCTGCATGTCAGGTGGTGACAAGACTAAATGATTTCAGGATCATTCAGGACAACATAACGAGGACCAGTATGTCAACCATTATGTTTTGGAAAAAAGTGGAAAAAATTTAAAAACACTGGCATACTTTATGTTGGTGAGACTTGGGTGTTTACTAAAAGGGAAAAAATGAAGACCTGTATCCACTTTAGTGAAAAGTGTAGAGACAGATTGTGAATAAATATAATAAATAATATATATAAATATAAAGATATAGATATAAATATTATAAGAAATAAATAGATGCCTGAACCAAATGACAAAATCTTTAGTAAAGAACATTTCTCAAGAAAGGCTTCATAGTAGGAGAATAAGGATATGTTAATTGCTTTGTTGATTAAAACGTATTGATTGCAATAACAAAATCTTTGTCATGAAAGAAGATAAAAACTTTACAATTATTTTTTTCGAGGAACAGATATAATTATTCAAGGTCCAAAAACTTAAAATACCACAGAATCAAAACAGTTTACCCTGAGACATTTTCATGTCTTGAGTCAATTAAACTTCTCCATAAAGTAGTGTTGAAAGACATAAGAAAATATGTGAATCTTGGGATGAAGCGGAATGATTTGGTTCTGATGTTTAAGAGAAAGTGAATAACGTATCTTTTGAAATACCAAAAATATTACAGTGGTGTTGGTTTTCTATTTTTTATTAATTCAAACCTTTCTTGTATGAAGCCAATGAGATGTTCCTGCTGGTGGAAAATAAAACTGTCTGAGGTGATAAAGGCAAATGAGAAAATAAAGATATTTTTACCCTGGCCATTTATTACCAATACATTTCTGTTCACTCTCTATAAAATCTGTATATTTGAACTTGGGAAGGTGCGCCTCAAATGTCTGAAACCTAAAGTTCCGAGACAGTCCTTGAACTGTTTTATGTCTAGAATGTGTCCTTATGAAAGTTACTGACATTTGTTTGGGGTTAAAATGGAAATCACATTGACCAGGTCCCATTTTTTCTTTGCACAGGATCACTCTGAATTCAACTCATCCATGGTGAAGAGCCAGACCAACACAGCTCGCATTGATGGCCTCAGGCCTGGGACTGTGTATGTGATTCAGGTTCGCGCCAGGACTGTTGCTGGCTTTGGAAAATACAGTGGCAAAATGTGCTTTCAGACTCTGACAGATGGTAAGAAACGCAGTGCCAAGAAACATTTTTTAGAGGTATGGGTAAGGGTTGTGTGGTAAAAGGTTAATGCTGATGGGAAAGTACCACAAATAATTATTTGTGATTAAAAATAAACTCTTTGTTAATTGGCTTTTAGCTGTTCTTCCCACATCTAGAGAGCTATCCCAGCAAGCTTAGCAGTGATTAGTGGTTAATATGATTAATTATCAGCTATTGGGATAAAATTGTTTGGAGTATTTCAACACCTGCTGTTCAGGCAATGTTTTGTCTGCGTACATGATGAATTACTTTTTTTTCTTTTCCCCATCTCTTTCAAGGTGTCTACATTTGGAACTCCAAGTGTATTTTTATTTTATTTAAAAAATCAGATTATGGTTGCTTTGTGTATTGTGTTTCTGTCATTTTAGAGGGCTTAAAGGATCTGGACAAGAGAGAAGTTGAAAAAAAACATTGAATGTTTTCCATTGTTTATTATTTAAGGATTTGTTTCGGGAACTGTTACGATAGTCTGCCGACAGCAGGATTTTGTCAGCACAGAGTGTTATAAAAAAAATAAGCACAATTCTTTGTCTTTAGTTTCGGTTCTGTCTTTTTAAATTAGCTGATTAGATCGCAGACTTTTCCAAATACATTTACGAAGGATCTTTGATGGACTGGCATACACTAGGGTGTATCCCACCTTGTGCCCATTGCTTACCTGGATAGGCTCCAGCTCCCCCACAACCTTGAATTTGATGACGCTGTTAGAAAATGGATGGGTGGATTTTCAAAGGATGTTTAATGCTATTTTAAATTAAGACTGAAAAATGTCTAGTTTTTATATGAAACATTTTGTTCTTCTTTCCTTCCAAAGTAAACATAGGACTTTTCCAGAATATGTAGACTTGTAGGCTTTGCACAGCGCATTGAGCTTCATGAAAGTCCCTGTTTGAAGCACTTAAAGGATATTGCAGATAGGTTTCCCTACATGAGAAATAAATTGTTCTTCCCTTTTTTCCACTCTGCTTGATTAACGAGGGAGAAAAGCAAAGGGGGCTATTTCTTACACAGCAGATAAAAGACAGGGAGTCTGACCCCTCTGAGGAAGAAGGAGGGTGCATCCAGCAAGATTTTAAGAAGGATTCTTTCCTTCATGCAATTGTAAGGTTCTGAGAAGCGTGTTGATATCTAGTCACTTCTTAACCACTTTATCCACTATAGGGTTTTTAGGGCTGGAGCGCGTCCCACAAGCAACGGATGCAAGGCAGGGTACACCCTGGACGGACGACAGTCCTTTGCAGGGCAGACAGACAAACAGACACGCAGGCACTTACACCAGGGCTAGTTTTCCCAAAAGCCAATTGATCCAGCAGTATGTTTTTGGCTTGTGTATGGAAACAGGACCACTCTAAGGAAACCCACGCGAACAAACTCTAGGCAGATAGCAGAATGAAATCCAGGGCCCCAGCACTGTGAGGCACCAATGCTAACCATTGTGCCACCACACTGCCCACATGTTGACATGGCAATGTTTAATATGGATGAACTGCACATGTTCTTTGTTTTAGGCCTGCAATGTACAGGTATATAGGACAAACCAGCATGAAGTTACTTTGTATTTCTCATTAGTAGATTATTTTAAATATGTTCAGACAAGACAAAATCCTTATCTTTGTAAACAAAAGGTGAGGCAGTTTGAAAGTTGGGAAATTTTCAACGTCTCATTAATATATAGTAATGGGTATTTGTGCTTGCATCAATTGTAAAAGAAGACAAGTAGTTTCATTTAAAAACTCAGCCATGAATATGCTACAGATGTCATACTGTATAGCCTTATATGAGAATTTCCTTTATTAAAAAAAAATATAGTGAGTTATATATACTGTAGTTATATGTATGCTGTTTTTGGAAGAAAAGTCCTGCAAGTATTATCAATGTTAAGAGTGATAAGCATAATAAAAGGGGAAATTTAGAATACAATTATTATTTTCCCTTCATTTTCCTTATTTTCCTGTGTTTGTGAGAGTTAGAACATATCAAACCAAACATCACATATTCTACCATGCATTTCAAAGTACCAAACAAAAATGATGAACTGAAATTTTATTTCTACTGGGTATACCACTTACTTTTCTTATTCTAATCGGCCAATTTGAAGACTTGTATCATAATTAGATTTTGTAAAGGAGTAAACAGCACTGTATTGCAGGAGCTTCAAAAGATTAAAGTGATTATTTAATAATTGCGTTAATTGCAGCTGCCTGAGTTTAATTAGAATCAAAATGAAAGTTTCGGGGAAATGAGTTTATTGGTGATGAGACCATCACCTCCCACATCAGCAGAACAACATGTGACTGATTGTTGAGTGGTGCTGAATTGCCCAGATGATGTCCTGTGAAACAATGTTACTCCATATCTTCTCCTTATCTTTTTTCTTGTCTTTGGCAAAAAAAAAATTCTGGAAGCGGTCCCAGGCCACCCGGTGGTAATTAGTGTTCCGTTATTTGAAGCGGAGGAAGAGTGGCATGTGGATTCAGTGTTTTCAAGGCACGGCCTTTGGGGAGCTGATAGAACATTGGCTGGCTCGATGCCAAGACACGGCCCCCGTTAAGACAATTAGCAGCAGGGGGAAATTAGGGTTTGCATTTCATCTCTCACGTCTTACATGACTTTCGCTAGCTGCCACCCCCCTCCAGCCTATTTTAAAGTCTCTCTGCATAATGAGTTCCATGCATGATGGTGGAAGTAAGTGATTTTAACAGCGATTCATGCAATTGGAATTCAAAGCAGTAGCAGGCAGCCTTTTCATTTCACTTGAAACACCTCCGCATGCGTGTGGATAATATGTACAAAGACAGCCAGAAGAAAGAAAAGCAGACATTTGTCCTTTCACGTGATGTCATATTTGTGGGTTCTTGCTTACTGTGATCTAATTAGAATGTGATCACGTGTTGAATAAGATTTCAACAAAGGGTGATTGTGTGAATGACTTAGGGTGAGCAGGGCATTGAATCTTATCCGGTTCATTTACAATTCTGTCACATAAAATGCGTGACCACTCCAACTCATTTAGATAGAATGAGGTTTATGTAGTCTGTGCTTTATTGGTTCTTTGTTCAGCTCGATTTGATTATTTAAATCTGTGAGGCTGCTTGAACCAATAAGTCGGTGAGCAGAACTGCCCTTTGCTGTTAGACTAACTCTCTTTGTGAGGTGGGACTCCTATAACGCTCAACCATTAAAAATGGTTGTTACCTTAGTTCCAGATATCCAAAACTTGGACTTAGTCAGGGGCCAGACTGTGAAAGTGCCTGTGTTCACTTCACACTCTCCCTTGGTGCACTGACCATTGTGGCATACATATTGAGGGTCCTCCTGGATGATGTTGATAGGATAGATGCCAGATTTTAACAGAGCAGAACCCAGACCACATTCTAAGCCAAGACTATACCACTAGGTGGGAGCCAGTGAACATATATGGATCCTGTCAAACATGTGTAGACTACTGTAGACTTTCGGCCTGCAGATAATAAACATAATAAAGTGTTAGCTGTTGAATTATTTAGTTGAAATGTTTACTGTTTCATCCAAAACAATTGTAATAATAGTCTGAATAACTATATCCCAAAAAAAATATTAAGGTGATACTTTAAGTTGTCTATACATGAAGGTCAGCAGAATTTCCTGTAGAATATTTTACCCTTCAGTTCACTCCTTTGCGAGATTCAGACACCAACAACTCTTTAATTATTAGATTATAATAATTGGTTGTACTGGCAAAATGTACCAGAATGAGAATGCTGGTATTTGGCTGTCCCTTAAGCAGAGTAAATGTTGATCCTGTTACAGATCTTTCAAAATCTTGGTCATGAAATATTCTTTTTGGTTCTTGCCATCAAAAGGCATAGTAATGAAAGTAAAGTTTTAAAGGGGTTTGGTGTACATCTTATCTACCTGCTAAATGAATATTGTGAACCTGCTTCCTCTGTTTTTGGTAAAGAGCAATGTGGCCCCAGAAAAAAATACTCCAACTTTTGTTTTTCATTTGCTCCACCCAGACAAGTGGGAAAAAAAGTTTAGTCATCAAAATCTGAAAGGAACTTTTCATCAAGTTTCTCATTTAAACTTGAATAAAAAAACAGCTGATGGAATGCATTAACTGTAATGATGGATTTCTAAAGTAATTAATTCCCTAGCAACTGTATTCCCAGCTATGCATAGATACACAAAATCAAAGAAAAACCCAGTTAATGATTTAATTATATAGAGCAATAAAAAATGTAATCTGTTTTATGACACTGCCTGCTAATAATAATTCCTTAATTTGTAATGCCTACAGTAGATATTTAGCAAACCATTTGCACTTACTTAAAATATACTGTTAGATTCAGTCTTATTAGGGTACAAGACATAGGTGACTCAGTTTTAAAAATTGTGGAAGGAATTAACTTTTATATCGCTCTTTAAAAATACATGCTATGTTAAAGGAACTGGTTCCACACAGCTGTATTACAACACAGTCTAGTAGATGTACATTTCTGCTGCAAAATGGAAGCTACAACCTTATTAAAAGAAGTGGCCTTCTGCTTCTGTTGCTTTGCCTCTTCTTGTCTCCCTATTCATGTGTCTTTTTTCTGTTCTCCCTCTTCCTTTACCTCCTCTGTCCTGTCCACAGACGACTACAAGTCAGAGCTGAGAGAGCAGCTGCCTTTGATCGCTGGCTCTGCAGCTGCTGGTGTGGTGTTCATTGTCTCTTTGGTCGCCATTTCCATCGTCTGCAGCAGGTACCGGATCCCATGCCTTAGTGTCCAGTACTGTAATATACCGTAATATACAGTATTTAAATAGACATGCTGTCTTTTTTGATTTGATAGTATAAAAGAGGTTTATCCAAACAAAAAATATTTTTTCAATCTTTTAGAGCTGGTTAGAAATTTAGGATTCCAATGTAAAACATTTAATGATGCAATGTTTTTTTTTAATGCAGGAAGAGAGCCTACTCTAAGGAAGCCGTTTACAGTGACAAATTGCAGCATTACAGCACAGGCCGAGGTGAGTTAACAGTGCCTCATTTAGAGGTTGTGCCCTGTAATTTCGACACTTTTCAGTATACTTCTTCATCTATCCTTTTTCTTTCTTCAAGTGCATTCATTGCTTTCAGTTTGTGTGAGGTGGAGGTTCAATATAACAGCTAACTGTTAAAATGATAAAAGGTATAGCAGTAAATGACAACCTAGAAGCTATCTTAGTTCCTACACAGAAAAATTAGATATGAACCGTTAATCAAATATTTATGGTTGGAGGAAAGCAAAAGAAAATTTGAAGAAAGAAAAAAAAACACTCTGGCGTTATACAGTATACACACACTAAAACTGAAAACGTGTGCTTTTCTTCAAGCCAAATGTATTATTTTCTAAAAATAAAGTTTCAGAGTATTATGTAATAATTAAAACTCAAGCTACATGTCAACATCTTCCGGCAGAAGCCTTTATTAAGACAATGAAGGCAATTAACAAAGAGAAAATAAACAAAGAACATGAAACAATAAAATCCCTAATTATCAATCTGCTAATGCCTCTTGAAATGAGCAATTAAGGAAAGGAACGCAAGTGTGCCAAATGACTTTCACTCATTCTTAATTCATTTGTGGAAAATAAATGGTCAAATTACTTTCAGCACAATCTATGAGATAAGTTCAAAAACAGTTGATGAAACACATTTTGCCACCAATCTAATGAAGGAAATGATTGGACACTTATATAAATCTACAATAACATGACAAATGCAATACTTTATCATACTCTTAACACTAGTGGTAACATACAAAATAAGCAGTAATAGAAGTAAGTCAGGAAGGTGGTCAGTCAAGATCTAAGAATGCTGTCTAAGAGTGTAACTACACAGATTACATTATTTACAATCTGTGCAGCGTTATTTATGACATAGTCTGTTCAAGTGGATTCACAGATGCTATCTCTACAATTATTTGCTGTTCTGAGTCAGAAGTAAAGAGTCAAACAGATTCCTGGTTTATAATTATCTGTCTTTGTAATTCCTACTATATACTGAGGTTCTTTTAAGAAAAAACAAGGTTTGTAATGAGTGGGAGTTGTCTCTTGTTGTTTGAGACTGCAGTCAATTTATAGGTTCATACTCTGCAATTTTTTAAGGCTGTATTCTTTAACTTTGATAATTGATTAAGCAAGTGTATATTGTGTTCTGAATTGGATGAATTTTTTAATTAGAGTACATTAACAATAGATTGTTGCAATCGTATTGTAAATAAAACTGTTTCAGTGCAGAAACCTCTCTGTAAAATAATGCAATTCTCATTTGGCCTTGTCGGGATAAAATATAACAAGGAAACACAAAAACATTCTTTACAAAAGCATGCACAGGAAAGAGTGTGCCTAATAACATAAAAACCCTGCAACTTTTCAAAACCGACATGTACAATAAAAGTTGAGGGCTTTGTTGGCTAAGAGGTCCTTGTATATTTCTAGTATGTTATGTGTTTCTTCACTCTTAAAAAGTCAAGGCCTTTTCAGAGTGAAAGGTTTACCTTTATCACACAATCCTGCAAAATAATTGACAGTAGAGAGTGAAGGATGTCAAACAATGGACATACAGTATGTGCCACAAGCCCTCTGGAGGGATTGCAGAATCATTTGTTTCTTTTTTAGTCATGTAACTATTGGAAACATACTAATACTATAAAAGAGGCATTGTTCTTGAGCAACAGCTGGTTTGTTTTAAATATTGTAATCATTGTCTCTGATCCAGAAGAAGTCCTTTTTCGTCTACAGCAATCTACACAAGTCTTGGAGTTAAATAGAGTTTATCTGGTCTCTCTCCCTCTCTCTCTCTCACTATCTCTCTCTCTCTATTATACCATATTCCGTATATCTAACTGATATTAGGATTTCTTTTTTAAATGAATACAATTTTGTATCTCACTGGGGTGTAATTTATTGTCTTACACCTCAAGGGAGCTGATCGCATTAATACAGCATATAGGCATATATTAAATGTAATGATCACTATTTCTTGCATGAGATCATTTACACAGTGGTGTGCCTAATGATTGGTTTTAGAGATCTGTAACTGGTTCAGCTTGTTGGTCTATAAACTCAGGACTAATGTAATATCACATTGCGCTTTCTAGGCAGATTCTGCCTGCGGGGTGATGTAAAGACAAAAGAAACATCCCATGTATGCTTCTATTCTAAGGATAAATTTGAAGAGATAGTGGAGCTGTTCTGTAAGCCCACAAGAATAAAGTGAAGTGTAATTTTATGAATAAAAGAGAGACCTGCCAGTTATGATACATTTGTCAGTCAATCTTTAAATAAAATGAGACCACAGGACTCCTTTTCTAAGTGTTGAGACATTACAGTGCTTCAACATCCATGACAGATCACAGATATCTCTAGAGATATCTTTGGGAAGAACCAGTTGCAGCAGAAGAAATTAGCTTCCAGATTTACCTCCTTATCAGTTTGTCATCAGATGTCAATTTATGGAAATTATGCAGCCAGCTTGCTGAAGAATTTTGTGTCCTTTACAGAATTTGAGGTTATCTGTGTGGCTGATAAATGCCCGCCACTTATTTTTAGTCATGGATTACTGAGCAGCACAGGCTGAGAGATTTGTAAAAATGTCTTCCTAGTCTGAACATATGAGATTTATGGATATATAATACAAATACATGCTTGTAAAGAACTAGAATATACTGCATTTCAACTGCATGCTCATTTTAGTGTTGCTTAATCCATTGTTGTAATAAAATACGTATTACTCTGAAAGGAAATGAAAATCAATAATGTAATACAGTATATACTGTACGTGGTATACTACCTTGTATACTACCTCTTGTATACTACCTATACGTTCTATGGTCTTTTTTTACTTGTAGTTTATTAGTTTTCTTACAAGAATTATGAGAAGCAAAGTTGTCATTGCAAAATTATCATAGTTGACTGAGGGGGGACTGTTAATATCAGCTGCTTGATCGTGATGTTTTTATTTTACCTGCTATGTTTGTGCTGTACATTATTCTGTGGGACTCCAGTACATCTGTGTTAATTGCTATTAAAGCATTTTATAGTCATGTTATTTAGAGATTCCAGGAAGAAACAAAAAAACCTTTTCTTAGATAAGATTTTATTTTTTCCCCTGAATGATCTCCCAAAGGCCAGCATTGAGGAGTCTTTTCAGAAGCTTTTTGTTGCTGGACACCTACAGTAGTAAAATAGTTTTTCAAACAGATACATCAAATGAAACTCAAAAATGCACAAACTACCCCTTTTAGTAATGGCACATTCTTCATAGTCTCACTGACTTGTGTATACCCACTTGGATTTAACAAGGAAATATAGTATCAGACATTGAACTGTGAAAACAGAAGTTTAGGGTGTGGACTGCTTTAAAACTGTGACTTTGTTCTCCGTTATGGTGTGTCACCTTGCTTAAGTATCCACAGCTCTGACCTTATTCAGCCGTAGCACCACAGACAATCAGCTCACCGACCTCGCTGACAGGGTCCCAGATGGATACCAGACCACTTGCCCAATAAACGCTCCCACAAATCAGGACGAGCAGCTCGCCCATGTAAATAAATGGTAATTTGTGTCACCACTTATAGTGTACAGATGTTGTTAAGTGGTGTCTCAGAGGATTAAGTGCCACAAGAGCCAGATGGAGTCCTATATGATGAGAGGGAAGGCAGGCATGAGGTGTCACACAGGCTTCCTTCACTTGGCTGGCCATAATGAATACTGCATATTGGCATTTGTGCTGGTTACATTTGCACATCTGCTCTTCTGGTCTGTTGCATGATTATATTTTAATGCAATGAAGGAAATCAGTTTAACATATGGGAGTTTTAGTGCTTTAATTCTAAAATGTATTGACACCAGATAGCACGTTGCATTGACTGCTTTTGGCAGCTTGGCAAATCAATCTGTTGTCACGGATTCCATATTCATACAACTTTTTCCAAGTGCAATGTACTGCAGTAAAATATCTGTCCTGTCTTTCTTGTTTTTTGATCAAACTAACTCTTACAATTTCATGGATAAAGGTTTTTATTGCACTATCCTTATTAACTCTACCAACACCTTAGTATACTCAACATGGAATGATTCAGTTACACTATGGTTGTACGAATACGATTATATTTTTGGTAATGGGATATGATAAAGAATAGAATGACTTAGTGTAGACTCTCTCTACTAAGGCACTTTTATAGAAAGAACAAAACAGTACATCATCCACTTTGTGTGCTGAGCAAGCACAGATCAAGGATGCATAAAATATTTACGTACATATCTATTTTTTCTAGCAGCTATAAAAAAATGTTAAACAGCGCTTTAAGGAAAAATACAACCCGTGAATTATATATGAAAGGCAGATATGTTCCTGTAATAAAAGCAATAGGTTCTATCTGTGTTGTTTACTGAAATGGAGACTACATAATGGCTGATAATATAAGTGGTTGTTGATGCTGAGAAAGCCATTATGTGATGCAGAGCCGCTGTTCCAAATGGCTGAATGAATTCTTTAATTTGAGTGTATGGACTTGCTTAATCGTCAATTACATCCAAGCAGCCAAGGTTCAAAGCAATTAGAAATCAGTTAGACAGAGCCTCCACTCAAAGAAATGAAAACTGTTCTTATATTGATTTGCGTGGACTGAAAGTCTATCATGCCATATCCCAAGTTTCATTCAGGACTCTTTCAACATTGCTTTTTATAGACCTTTTCCACCTATCAGGCATAGGCTCTTCTGATTCATCTCCTAATTTAGTAGAAGGTTGTGTATTCTTGGGAAGGTAGCAGAAAGCCAGGGCCTTACCCAGAAGCACAGGGTGTATGTTGGGACTGCTCTTCCCTTGGATGGAGGTTAATTAGATGGAGTTCCAATCAGGACCACTGAGAGAAAATGATAATTCAGAAAAAACTGTTATACTGTATCTACAAGTAGCTCTCATGTCTTTGAGAGATGAAAGAAAGCCTACATGCTTATGGGAAGAGCATATAAGATCCACTTATGCTGACACCCAAAACTGAAATTAACCCTTGGAGCTATGAGGAAGCAAACCTAACCATTATGTCTCCCTCCACATGGATTCATTCTACACAGAAAGCATTTTAACAGCTTCACAGATCAGAAACCCTGAATCTATGAGGCTGGGTAAAATAATGCCACAAAAGCAGGTTTAATTTGCACTTCCAAACTCAAAGCCTCACCTGTGAACTTCATCAAAATATATACTGTACATTATTAAGTGAAGATGGACATAAGAAAGTTTGCAAACTAGAAGAATCAAAGTGAAAGATTTGGCCATCTAGTTTTATTAACAAAATATTATCAACTTTGAATGCATGGCTGAGTAACTTATTTCCAGATGCCCACATGTTTGGATTAACACTTCCAGTTATTCATCTATGTATTATGCAGTCAGAATTAACATGAACAACGGCAGTTTAATCTTGCTCTTCAGTGTGTTGCCAAGATCTTTGACTCTGAATTGTCTTGATGCAAAGAATACCGTATGTGTCAGTGATGTCTGGCCCATCAAGAACAGCAGCAATTGGGTCTGTATTGGCATTTGCTTAAATTCTTTTGACAATGCTATTTACATCTACTCTAGGAATGTTGTTGACTCTTGATAACTGATGTTGACTTGTTGTTGAGAATCTTTATAGTTGATCTGACTTGCAGGTCATGCACAAAGTCTTGTCCTTGACTGTAAACATTTTTGCCGTTGTTTTATAATAAGAAGGGAACAATTCTTTAGTTCTTAAGTTGACTTCAGAAACAACAGTGTTCACATTCCATTAACTGCAGCTCACCCCTAAAGTATTTTTTTTTACTGTTTTACTGTTTCACTTCTGTTACTTTATGATTCCTATAGGAACCTTGGAAAATGGGTTAATTGGCTTTTCAAAGCATATAGCCCTTACACAGTATGGTATATGCACAATTAAGTTATGAGCTTTGTATGTACCTGTATATACTGTATATAGCCAACCTCAAACTAGTTAGAAAGTCTAATATTATTATTTTATATTATATCTTCCTCAGATAATCTGTGGATTAATAAAATATCCAGCATATGTGTTTTTAAACACAGAATTATGTAGAGCTTTTTTGATAAATTTACATTCTTTCATCAGTCTGTTTCACAACTTACTCCTTAGGCTCTCCTGGGATGAAAATTTACATTGACCCTTTCACATATGAAGACCCAAATGAGGCAGTTCGAGAGTTTGCAAAGGAGATTGATGTGTCCTGTGTGAAGATTGAAGAAGTCATTGGTGCAGGTACAATGGATGTTTGCTATTCAGGTTTTCTGTGTTTTTTAGGTTGCAAACTACATTCATTAATTTACTTCTCTCATGATTTGATGCCTAAAATAGATTAATTATACATATGGTGGACAAAACCAATGAAGCTGAAAAAATTGAGTTCACTTTCCACCACTGTCCAGTAGTATAGCTGGAATACATCTTGTCTTGTCTTGTTGTCTTGTTGCTGGAATGGAGGTCACATAGCTATTTGTGGGGCTTTGTTTTGTGAATAGATGTTTTTTAGAGAGAAGGCAAGTGTCCTGTGTGTGGAGTGACAGATCCTTTGTGTTTCCAGGTGAATTTGGAGAGGTGTACAAGGGCCGGTTGAAGCTACCTGGAAAACGAGAGATCTATGTGGCCATTAAAACATTAAAAGCTGGTTATTCTGAGAAGCAGAGGCGGGACTTCTTGAGTGAGGCCAGCATCATGGGCCAATTTGACCACCCCAACATCATCCGGTTGGAGGGGGTAGTCACAAAGAGCCGGCCAGTCATGATCATCACAGAGTTTATGGAAAATGGCGCCCTGGACTCCTTCCTTAGGGTGGGTATTTATTATTAATTAACTTTTAGTTAACCAAATAGTTGATCTATTCAAGCAAAAATTAAGGTTTAAACTGTAGTACACTGAAGGAAACTGTATTTATTCTTAAAAACATCCTGCTTGATTGTTGAGATCAAGTCTCTTACCAATAAAGAAATTGAGTACAATATTTGCCATTTGGCTTCTTAATTCAGGATTAGATTCATTTTTTGTACACCTGTGTAGTGCAAAAATATGTAAAATCCATAGCCAACTTTAATTAAAAATTTACCTAATTTTACAACATGACATTTACCACAGAGTAGTTAGCTCCAAGATATGTCAGCTATCATGAGAACTTAAAATTTGTGATAGGTGTCACTACTTGTAGTTTTCACAATAAAAGTTTACCTTGCATGTTAAACTTTAAAAAGGCTCAGCTCTCAGCCTGACCTGTCTCTGGATAGGAAAAAGTTTCTTGTATCCCCAATGCTTCCTCCCTTTGTCTGGCAGCATACCTCAGGATAATGGAGAGAGTGTTATGCCACAGAGACGTCAAGGTCAGAGTATCAGTGAGAGTACAATTTTAGAGGATTAGGTGTGTACAGTTTAGTGGTGCTGATCTGCAGCTTCAGGCCTCAGATGTGGGTATGAATGAGAAAAAACTATGAATGAGAAAAAGGCTCAGCATGTTGCCTTGGGCCTGGCTAATGAAGTGTTACTTCTCCCCAGCCCACACCTTCCTGAGGTGGGGAATATGGGGGGCTCAGCCCAGTAGGAAAAGTTGACCTACTTCTTATAACTGCAGGACTACTGCAGGCTGTCTCTTAGGCAAGAGAATGAGAACGCAGGGCAGTCAGAGATCATCAGTTAATATAATCTAGTTTCTGAAATTTCAGTTTCTCTGTCAGGGATTACTTTTTGGGTTATAAATGAACATATTATCTAAGCTAAATAACTTTTTTTAAAATACAAACTTTTATTTATAGTTTATAGTTTATTTTAAACCACATTTCCAAGGTGAGAACAGTAAAATGTTTAAGGCCTTATTTATAATGTTTAAGGCCTTGTTTATAGCTTAATGCCCCATAACACAATGTACTGTAACTCATTGCTACCAACAGAGAGTGTGTGAAAGTATGTCATGACCAGCCTTGATGTTTTTTATTGACTAAAAGAATGGATAGTTATTGATTCCAGTAGACTTTCTACTGTCAAAAATGCAGATTTCTTTTCTGTTAGACAAATAAATATCGCCAAATCAATATAGTATAGTTATAGTTAATGGATCAATTTCCTCTTCATCTTGATTTGATGCTTGTTTGAAAGTACTCATTTGAAGTAAGTTTGCAGTGCCTCTGCTACCAAGCAGGCTGACTAGTGTTTCATTGATTTTGATTAACCTGATATTTTTTAGAATCCATGGAGTAAAAAAAAGTACAGTACTGTATATCTGAATAACTATCAAGAGTGCTGTAAATAAGGCCAGGTTTGGTACTTGCTAATACATGCTACTACATTATCTTGAAACAATACTAAAGGAAATACAGTATTTGAAGAAAGTGGCATGTACCATGAAACTGAAATTATGTACACCTGAATATATGAACACTATATGCCACTTAATAAACACCTGAATACAAATATCTTCTTACCTGTAAATTATACTCAAGGCATTGCCCTGGGGAAGCTACCTGTGTGTTAAGTATTAATAAACTAAAGACAGAACAAAACAGACAGCAAAATTACTATCTACAAAAATTTCAATGGTAAATGTTTAAGGCTGATATTTTCCTAAAAGGACTGGACAGAAAGGTGAGTTCATATGGTAAGGAAAAGTAGATTTAAGGAATTTGTGGAAGTCAATTTTAAGCGGTATGACTCAGTTAAGGTATTACACAAATGGAACAGTGTAGGCTGATCTTTTAGCATTGTATTACATCCAATTAACAAATCATATTTCTGACTAAAAAAATCAATGGTAAGTCATAATAATGTAGGTGAACTGTGCATCAAAAGAATTAGGCTTTGCAAAACTGCACTCGCAAATGTTGAATGTATGTACTGTACCTGCTTCAGGCTCATGCTAAAATGATGTGATTTTTCCGGATTCATTTTTTTCCTTTTGGCATTATGTAAGTGGGGACTGATTTGTACGTGGACCAACAAAGCAATTTTGATATGAATTGCAACCTAAAGAAAAATAAAAAATCACAGTTCTCTCAATATCATTGGTGAACCTCTTATATACAGTATACTGCATGAAATACAACACCTCTTGTTATTAAACAAAAATGGAATTTATTTTTATTTAATTTACTTTTTTGTTGCATAACCTGATGCATTGTTATTATACATGCTAAGCACTGCAACTAAAATTAGTTTTAAAAACACTATGAAATCTGAACAAGAAGAGATTATAGTGGGCAGTCTATGATTGTTTCATTGTAATGCCCCACCAATAACCAGAAAGGCATTCTATTCCAATAATTTTAATTCCTCTGGATGATTTTTTTCAATTACCAGTTTAGAGAGCTATATTTAGTGATTTAATTGATTACCATGGAAAATAATGATAAATTATCATCAAAGAGAACTGAGAATTATCCATGTATTAATGGAAACATACAGATGATATATAGTAAGGGCTTCTGTTACTACCCTGTTCTCCCTTTCTGACAGCAAAATGATGGCCAGTTTACGGTGATCCAGCTTGTGGGGATGATGCGAGGCATTGCTGCTGGGATGAAGTACCTGTCGGACATGAACTATGTCCACAGAGACCTGGCAGCCCGCAACATTCTAGTCAACAGCAACTTGGTGTGCAAGGTGTCTGACTTTGGGCTTTCACGCTACCTTCAGGATGACACCTCTGACCCCACTTACACCAGCTCCCTGGTGAGTCCCCACTCCCACCTTTCTAACCCTTAGTCTTGCATTTCAGTACTTCACCAAAATGAACGGCTCATGTCAGGTGACATCCAATGCTATCAGGCTTGGAGGACGGAGCATCCATGAGCCTTACCTACTTTCCAAAGAGTCTTCCAGTGGTACAGACTGCTTTACAGTATATAAATATATATGTTTTACTTCATTTACCATTTAATTACGATTGGTTAGCATTGAGTGAAAAGACGCCTGATTTTTGAAAAAGGAAATAGTGTTTATTTGTTGTTTTTGTTGGAGTTGTTTTCACTCACAGAGGTACTTGCTGGGTGATTTCTGTCATTGTTCCCCAGCAATCAACTGAATTTTAGTCATTTTACCCATCCGGAACACACTGGGAAATGCTTTCTTTGTTCTTATAAAATATAGCTGCAAACGAGGGAATTGATGGAAAAAATAATGAAATGTAGTTTTGTCTGAGAATGGTCTTTGTGCAAACTTTCCTCAGTGTTATTTTGTCCTTAATACTTGTGTGCACAAAGCATATCTTTATAATGAAGGCTTTGTTGATCCACATATGAAGATAATTTTAATCAGGTGGTTTTGCCAGCAACAGATCTTCATTTTTATGTTTTCCTTTGGAAATGTAAAGACAAAAAGGAGCCATTTGGTCTCCAATCAAAAGGTACCTCAAAACATTTTAAAGCACTTATTTGTGTCCTTGTTACATAAAGGATAATAACCATAAATGGCCCAAACTGTGCTACCTTACATGTGGTTGAAAAAAAAAAATCCTTAAGGCAATCTGAGTTTTACATTGTGAATGTGTCACATTTTGTGTGGTTGAGTAAACACACGCTTGTATTAATTGGAAGGCAAAACCATGCAACTTCCTATCAACTCTGATACACCCCATTTGGAACTTAATTACATCCTGGAGATATTAAAAAGACCATTATATCCATAAAACCTGGGCAGATCAGGAGCGTCCCTGTGTGGTATCTTGTAATTATCCGGTGAGGGGAAAACACTATTTCATGTGGAGCCAGTTGCAGGAGATAGTTTTTAATTAGGCAGAAGGAGGACCTTCTTTATCTGCTATTTTAATACACCACACACTGGTTATTTGTAAATGGCAGGTAAGCAATTCCCAGACCTCCGATTTCTGCATCCAAGCATGACTAACTCACTGTTTGCGTTCCCCATTCTACCAAGAAAACTGGCCACCCATGCTGTTATTTATTGTTGACGTGCTTGTCATTCCCCGTATCTCTGCCTGTACGTGTCCTGCACATTACAATTTATGTGCAAGCCTACACTGTGATTATGGAACTGCAATTAGGCCAAGCTCTCATTTAACAGCTGAGGAATCAGTTCTGCCATTTGTCTCTGTATATTTGATGGCTACAGTGCAAACATCCCCTTTTGTGATGTTCCTGAGCTCCTCTGTGTAAGCATATGCACAGACAAATGGATGCAGTTTTAACTACATCCTCATCACCAGCCCGTTCATAAATGAATTAAGAAATTCAGTTATTCTTACTGTAGTTTAAATGTTGATGGAAGCATGTTTAATTGATGTATGGATCAGGCGTGTTTTGTGTTTACACATACAGTATTCTGCAGCATTATGATATAGCCATATTAATGCTTAACGGAATAGCAAAGCAGTTAGTAGTAGGGTGGATTATATACATACATCATATCTGTCAAAGTAGATCTCATTCTAGCTTTGCATTATCTGTTAAGGATTGGAACTCTGTTTTAGACATTTGGACTCTTGCTTCTTTGTTCTTCTCATACCTACAGTATGTATAGACTTTCTGGGTTATCTCTGTAGTGAAATAAAGTAATAACTTTACAAGCCTAATTCTGAACAGTCGCCTTGTGTTGACCTAACTTTGACGTACAGTTTTCAAGTTCCTATCACACATTTGTAGAAATTCTATCATTTATGGAAATGCTCTATATGATATGGTATTTTTCTGTAGGACATTGATAATTTGTGATAGAGATGTGTATGTTGTCTGGGTTCCATGGAATTGTTTTGCTCTTGTAATGGATATAGAAAATTGACTTGACCTTTGAGATTGAATACAAGCTTAAGTGAACAAGTTTAAGCGAAAGGTACCTTTAAAATAAGTTCAGTTCAGTTTCAACACCTGAGTGCTCATTGCTGTGTACGACTTTTTCTCAAGAGATCCAGACGAAGCTTTGATCATGATAACGTTTACTCTGAGTTTTACTGAGGGAGTTTGCTGAATTGGGCTAATGCCTGACCTGATGTCTGTGGACTCTGTACACCAACAATTTTCTACATCATTTTCAAGTAATCATAGACTACACGGTATTTGCCACCATGGAATTAGTGCAGAACCTATGAGTGCTCTATGGTGGAAGAAAAGACTGAGGTCAAATCCCCTTTGATTCTGTAGCTCATAGACCACAATCTGAAGTGTTTGAAATGCTATTATTATTTGGATTTTTAAGATGAAGACAAGACCATTTTTTTGCTCAGTTCATGTTTATATAATTTGTACAGAACACAATGAAAAAGAATTGATAAAGGATTGAAAACTTTGTCTTTTTGTAATTGCTTTTTTTAGATAACAAACTTGGTGATCTGGGTACTATTTGCCACAAGCATATTGAATCTCTTTAGTGTTAAGGCTGAAATTATATTTGTATATAGTTATCTATATACTGTATACTAAGAGACACTAAAAAACTGGTTCCATTACTCATCACAGTGTTTTAATGCTTCTCAGTATAAACAGAGAGAAAGTAATTGTAGGTAAAGTTCTGTTTTAGTCAGAAGCTGGTTATTGCCCTCAGTATATTCCTTCCATGGAAATGTCATGTTTCAGTTAATGTTTCTGTTAATATTTCTTGTATTGAGTTTATGTCTTAATGCTATATATGGAACACAGGGCACTACGATAGCTTGTAAAAAAATGAGTGGTTTTCACTTTAAAACATTTAACGTAAGATGTAAGAATGATGATGATAAAAGATAACAAGTACATTTACATTTGGGATACAGTACCCAACTGGTAATCTTAAATTTGTGTACTTTGGTTTTCTAATCTTGGTCCAGGGGTTTATAAATCCTTGTGAAATCTTTTATTCACCTGGGGGAGAATCCTAACAATTGTTGAATGGTGAGACAGACCAGTGGAAGTTGCAAGCAGGAAAAGAAGAAGAGAGTGAGTCCTTCAGTCCATGTTAATTAGGCTTAATGCAATACTTCTTTTGACACTGTGCCCTCAGATGTTAAGGATGAAGGGGGCAATCACAGAGCAAGGCCGCTGAAGTGGGTAAGGCCAGGCAAATTAAATCTCTCTGACATGATATGATTTATCTACAACTGGACCTGCTCTGTAAATGACTCGCCTTTTTTCAGTCTTTGTCTTTCCTGTATCCCCATTAAATTACTACCAGCAGTCCACGAGGCCTTCGATATGCCACTTAATTGCATTTCATTAACCCTTCAGTTCAAATTCATTCAGAATGCAAGGGATGAGGCAGTAAACGCACCTCACCAAGTGTGACACCAAGGTGGATGAGGCTGGTGCAGAGTCCATAATTGATTTTCGAAATGATCGGTTACGCTGGCAGGGAGTTTCACGGCGCACTGAAATGCCATTATCCCAGCCCCCATCTATCCTCTGCCGTCTCGAAGCTGGTTTTCTTTATTTATTTTTCTTATTTATAACATCTTTCACCTGAGCACACCCAGGAAAGCAGCTGGGTTGCTGGCAAGACAAAAAGACTGTGGCTGGAAAATGCTTTCAGTCCTTTATTTAGCTCCCAGAGATGATGCTGAATTAGGCTGAAAGCTGAGGTCAGAGCTAAATTCAAAAGCCAGCAATGTTTATCCAACATCTTTGACCTACTTGACATTCCTTAACCTGTGCTCTCCTGGAATGCTGCACATTGGTGGTGGTGGAGGGGAGTCCCCATTACCTGTAAAGCGCTTTGAGTGGAGTGTCCAGAAAAGTGCTATATAAGTGTAAGCAATTATTATTATTATTATTATTATTATTATTATTATTATTATTATTATTAATAATAATAATTTACAGTGAGTGTTTCTGTTGATGGTTCAGAACACAGTTGCACTCTTTTTTTCTTTGTATTTTGGACTTTGAATCGGGCAACATTAGATAAAAATATTTTAATTCAGTATTTTAGTTTAAACTGTATATGAAAGCAAAGTGTGAGAGCCCCCTTCAATAATGCTTATCAACAGTTACTGAACTTGTATAGAATCTGAGCTTGTTTTCTGTGCGCAGGAGTGTTTCACAATGCTAACTTTTACACACACGACTACAGGACAAAGAAAAGGTTTTATTTATTGTGCCTCTGTAAAACATGGCTTTGCACAGCAATGCAGATTTGTGTATGGATTTCACAGAATATTAAATTGTACACTTCCTTTGAAGCTGATATAAAATAGATACACCTTCAGCAACGGGAAACAATAATAATTTGAAATCCGTGCCAGGCTTGGTGTCAGGACTAAGTACCCCCTTGTCCAGGCATGTATTTTTATTCATGTGCTCAGACAACAGCGGCAAGGACAAGACATCCATGGTAAATGGCTCACTAGTCAGGAATATTGCTTTGGGAAAGGTATGCATCTGCACGGTAAACAAGCCTGTCAATTTTGATCAGGTTTCCTCCTGTCCACACAAGACGTGTTAGAGGAGATATTAAAAGGGAGAAAGGTCCCCGCTATTCTTTGGCAAGCCAAGAGAAATAAACCTGGTTGATAACCTGGCAGCTTCTATTAGAAAACTAGCTGGTCCACTGGTGTTTCAAATGGAAAATAAAACTACCTGAGATAGAAATAGGAGAAGCATGCCCTTTTCCTTTAATGCGATTTTCCTTGGCTATTGCAACGAAACGTGGAAATATCATTGATTTTTTGTTTGTTTTCTTTTTGAGGTTTCCGTGCTGTACCTCGTTCACCCTTGCACTTCTGAAGGTTAACCTAGGTTCTGTCTTTC